CATTTGTGGACTATCTGAAACCCACTGGAGAGGCAACGGGCATTTCCTTACCGACACCAATACAGTCTACTTTTCCGGCAATGACGACAGTAGCCAAAACGGAGTAGCAATACTTATTCCTAAGCGTCTAAATAACAGTGTGATAGGGTATGAGGCAGTTAGCGACCGCATCATATCCATGAAGCTTAAAGCGTCACCTGTAAATTTGAACCTGATACAGGTATATGCTCCCACCAGTGAAGCTTTACCCACCGTCCTGGAGAGTTTTTACAAAGAACTACAAACAACGATTGCCAAAATCCCCAGCAGAGAGCTGCTTATAATCATGGGTGATTTTAATTCGAAAATTGGTGCAAACTCTGCCCAGTATAGTAAATGTGTGGGAAACTTCGGACTTGGAGTACGCAATGGAAGAGGTGAAAGATTTATGCAGTTCGCAGACGAAAACAGCTTGGTGGTGGCAAACAGTCTATTCCAACACCATCCACGTAGACTGTTCACCTGGACCTCACCTGGAGGTAAGGCCAAAAACCAGATCGACTACATACTGATTGGATCGCGCTGGCGCACCTCCATTCTCAACGCTCACACGCTTCCTGGGGCTGATTGTGGTTCCGACCATGAACTCGTTATCGCAAAGATACGGTTGAAACTCAAAGCTGCCCGATCCTCCAAGAAAATAAGACGGATTGAAGTAACAGATAGCGAGAAGCTCAATGCAGCCTTTGAGCGGAAATGGATGGAATGGACAGATGCAAACCACAATGAAGCTACACCAGACATGCTATGGAATAAAGCTAAACATCTCATCCAAAGTGCAGTGGCGGAGTCTAATCCAAGATCAGAAACCCGCAAACGTCAACATTGGATGACGGATAGTACTCTTGCTCTAATCGAGGAGAGGCGCCTTAAGAAAGCTGCAGGAACAGACATAAGGGAGTTGAATGAGATGTCTGCTAACATCCAAGCCTGCTGCAGGAGAGACCACAACCGCCATCTTCATAGCATTTGTGAAGAGGTTGAAAAACACGCTCTGAAGCACGAGTCTCGAGATCTATACCACAAAATTCGTCTTATTACCAAATCTCTACCGGCTAGAACCTGGGCCATTGAGAACGACAGAAATGAAGTGGTAACAGAGCTCGAACAAATCTCCGAAACGTGGAAGAACTACTGTCAGTCATTATTCCGAGACCCGCAGTCACGACAGTTTGCAAGTACAGACCCAGAACGGGAGAATTTGGAACCAGACATTCTACTGTCCGAAGTAAGAGCTGCCATAAAACACCTGAAATGTAAAAAAGCAACTGGTAGAGATGCAATTCCGATAGAGACAATTAAAGCCTTAGGAGATCGTGGCGACCAGATGTTTCATGTAATTTGCAACAAGGTATGGCAGACAGGAGTTTGGCCTACTGAATGGACACACACCGTTTTCACACCCTTGCACAAAAAAGGTTCGACAAAGAAATGTAACAATTACCGCCTCATTGCTCTAATATCACACGCTAGCAAAATAATGTTGCATATTCTCAACGAGCGACTGAAAACCTACCTTTCTAAGGAGATCGCTCCGGAACAAGCCGGTTTTGTGAAGGGGAAAGGCACTCGGGAACAAATTCTCATCGTACGTCAGATCATCGAGAAGTCGAGAGAATTCAATAAGCCCTTATTCATTTGCTTTGTTGATTTCTCCAAAGCATTCGATTCGGTGAAATGGCCGATATTATGGAAGACCTTGCTAGATATGGGCACACCAAAACATCTTGTTCACCTTTTAAGACGCCTATATGAAGAAGGCACAGCCTCAGTGCGCACAGATGATGTCCTATCAGGTGATTTCCATCCTAGTGCAGGAGTACGCCAGGGATGCATAATATCCCCGCTCTTATTCAACGCCTACACAGAGCTGATAATGCGCATCACTTTGGAGCACTGGACGGACGGAGTAACAATTGGTGGATACAGGATTGCAAACTTACGTTACGCGGATGACACCACCTTATTTGCAACCAGTTCACAACACTTGGATGAGCTACTGTCAAAGATGGAGCGAGTGAGCCGTGAGTTTGGCCTTAAAATTAATCGCAGCAAGACCAAGGTAATGATTGTTGACCGTGCCAGAAATAATTCGCCTGAAGTGACACAAATCGCGAATTGCACTGTGGTCCAATCTTTATATCTATCTTGGGGCCCTGATTTCAAACAATGGCGGATGCATCGATGAAATCAAACGACGTATGGGCATCACAAGATCAGCGATGGACAAGATGCGGAAAATATGGAGGAACAGAAACATTACTAAAGCCACAAAGACCAAGCTTGTGAGGACACTTATATTCCCCATATTTCTTTACGCGGCTGAGACGTGGACTTTGCGAGATGTGGAAAGGCAGAAAGTGGACGCTTTGGAAATGTGGTGCTGGAGAAGAATGCTTGGGGTTTCGTGGACCGAGTTTCGCACGAACGTCTCGATACTTCAAGAACTCGGTATCAGGCAGCGTCTATTTTCGACAGTACAATCTCGCATCCTAACATTCTTCGGACACGTTTCTCGGCGTAACAACCTATCCATAGAACGCCTTGTCGTCCAAGGAAAGGTGGAAGGTACTAGACCGCGCGGAAGGTCTCCCACGCGATGGACTGACCAGATCAAGTCAGCCGTTGGAGGTTCACTAAACGAGTGCAGCAGGATGACCTCTAGCAGGCAGCAATGGCGAAACATAGTGAAGCGCATCACATCTGCCCCCTCCAATAATACTACAAGTGCATAGCGATCACGACCGCTCTGTCAAGAGCGTACCGGCTAAGAAGAAGATTATTTTGTTGTTGTCAAACAAATGTATTTTCACCCATCACTTTCAATTAACTATGAGTCCAGTACGATTATTGTATGATTTTAATCTTATATATAAAATTCTCGTGTCCCGGTGTGCGTAATTGAACTCCAACGAAACGGCTCGACGGATTTTCGTGAAAATTTATTTGCATATTCAGTAGGTCTGAGAATCGGCTACTATCAATTTTTATACCCCTAAGTGATATATATTACCCCTAACATTTTTTTTCCCATTTTTTTAATGTGGCATTTAAAATACATACAACCCTAAATTTTCACCCTGCTACCACCAGCCCTTATTTTTATGGCAAAGTTCGCTGGAAGTTCGTTAGTAAAATATGTTTTTTAATATATTTCATACAATCATACTACTTACCATATTTATATGAAAAGATATTTACATATCAAGTTTAAACTAAATTGATCTTTTTGTATCAACAATTTTCATAAACCCCATTCAAAAGCCATCGAAGTTTGTTAATAAAAGATATTAATTTAGAAAATTCAAACAAAATTAAGAAGTTTTCTAAATGTCAAATTAATGGGTTTATTATTGTTCAAATCGAACAAGTCGAGAGGCAGGTTTGTTGGTCATTTATCTACTAACTTTTAATTTTTTTTGGTGTGTATGCTATTGGCCGCAGATGACCTTTACAGCGTCACCGGGCTTAAGGACGGCGAGATCCTAAGTGAACCTCAAGCCGAGAATTGGCGTGTGCCTAGGTATTCCAGGCGGATAGTATCTCCTCACGGGGGGAGTCTCCTCTCCATCTGGAGCCTCTAGACCTCTCGAATCTGAGGGGGTCGGCTCAACTAGCGGGCGTCTCTAAGACTCGGACCTCATATCCCCGTGACATAAGTTAATCTTTCCCCCGAACGTTGAATAATAATGATTGCAAAGTGAGCAAAAAATAAGTGAAAGTTACACTACTATCATTTTACATTGTTGTTTGTTGGTTTGGTTTGTTTTTGGTTGTAAAAGTTTAAGTATCCACTCAAGTATTGAGGTTCACCTAAGTCTACCAATACTTATTTTATTTATCCAAATATTCGTAAGAGGAAATCGAAAAGCATTCGATTAAAGTATGTTTTTTTGATAAAAGCAATTTGCTTAAGATTGTTTTTATTTACAAATATTTTTATGCTGCATTACAATAACTTGTATGACAACTTAACGGAGCAAAAATTTCAATTCTGAATCCTTTTTTGTTATTTTTGTGAATTTAAATAGTTCGGTAGATTATTATATTACTCTACAATTTTCATTTCTTCAGTTCCTTATCAAGAGCTTACTTAAATCTATCAAATGTATGTGATAACGATTCATTCGAAGTTTTTCAATGTCTTAACGTGTTGAATAGATGTCACAATATCTAATGTCTAAAATATAGATTAGACGATTTCCGTGTCCGAGAGAGAGGGCAGATGTTTGTGTGATGAATACGAGCATTTGTACTCCAGTCATGGAGGTTTAATATGTATTTCTATATAAATACATTTATATATGTATCAGTATATGTATTCTATCCATTACCCTTGTATTCCATAACACAAGCCTACAGTGCTTACTTTGGGCTAAGCTAATTAGTGTGAGTGCCGGAAATATTTGTTTTATTTATTTCTTAATTTAATAAATTCGATAATTAAGAAGAATTTAAATGTTTGACAGTTAATATATACACATCAAAAAAGTCTAAGCAACATTTATAATGTTGTATGGTTTTGAACTTTTCAACGATTTTGACTATTGTAATATACCTATTTATACGTAAAATAATCATCATTTTTAATTTTCAAAATCAGCTAATTACATTTTCGAGATAAAAAAGAAGGTATGCATACCAATCTACTTTGTTAAGAGAAAAAATGTGTAATGGTGCGTATTGCTTAGAATTTTTTGATGTCAGTAGTTGTAATATATGTGGTGTACAGCTACACAAATATGTTTTGATTGGTTAATTTATTCACATAACCAGTGGCTTACAGTGAGCTTTTAGATAATCAAGGACAAATCCACGGAAATTTGAATTTCCATGGGTAATGTATATCTTTCTATTTGTTAATTAGTCCAGCGTTATTTTTGTTATAAATTTCAGCAAAATGAATTTGTTCTTGATCTAAAGACTGACTTCTAAAGTAACACATCGTAAACGGAACTCACCACGAATCCTAGTAAACAGTGCTGGGCCATTGTGTTGATATCGATAAAAAACAACAATATATCGAATGGTACGTGCGCTGCCCGTCGCGTCTGTGTCACAACTTCGAAGCTTCGCCGCACGTCGGAGCTTTTTGCTAAACGCCGGTGGTCCTTACCGCCTTTCACTTTCTCGATGCTGTATCGGTGATGCGAGTTTGTTTTTATTCACGTTCCTATATAGGTACGTGCGACTTCGCAGATTATTCTTAATTGGATCAGATGTTTTTTTCGGCCAATAGCAAATTAATAGTAACTCGCCTTATTTATGGGTAATTCAAGAAGACCGCTTTGAAACACGCGAATGTTAAATGTTGTTTTAGTAGTGTGTATGGAATGATTTTATTTTTGAAAAGCTTTAAACATAAAAATAATTACATAGGGCACGGAATTCCAACGATAACAGGACCATTGACATTTTACTAGACAAAAGAGACGCAAGGGACTGTTTAGTCCTTTGACAGAATATTAAGAGACATCAAAATTATTTTGTGTTTATGCATATAAAATTAATTTTACGCTCTTTTTTATGGTAATAATAGTTTGTAGTTATGTTATTTTATATATCTGTTTGAAATAATTTGAACTTACATTTGATTACATATGCAAAATTTAATTATAACAGCTTTGGTAATTAGCTATTTAAATCTTAATATATATAAATCTCGTGACATATTTGTCCTCAATGGACTCCTAAACCACTGAACCGATTATAATAAAATTCGCACACCATGTGCAGTTCGATCCAACTTGAGAGATAGGATAGTTTAAATCTCAAATTATAGTCGCAATTTTAATTTATTGCAAATTATTACTTTTGGGCGGTACGAAGTTCGCCGAGTCAGCTAGTATATATATATATATATATATATATATATATATATATATGTTGAAAAGCTTAAAATTGTCGGTATTATTTATTACCATTTTTTATACATTTTTATTCTTGCAAAATAAATTTTTTGTTATAGTTTTTTGTAAAGGTCTGCGAAATCACTATCGAAATAAATTCGAGATCTTATGGTAACTCCACAGAGATGAAGATGCCAAATGTGAAAGCTCTCTGGCTAATAAATAGTTTTATGTCAATTAGTAAAAGCTTATTTTCTGTTACGTTTCACTAAGTGTGATTTTAATTATCATTTGACACATAATTATTAATAAGAACAGTGCGGCAGAATTCAGCTCAGCACACATTAGAGGTGTGCCCAGCGTGGACTCGGTAGCGCGGCACTCTGGTCGCCATCGTGTAAACGGACATGGTAAAAACTATGATGGAGAGCGACAGGTCTTAGCAGGAGATGGTGTCCTTCTGCGAGGACATCAGACTACGCGAGGAGCAGGCCCTCGCGGGCGCTCTCCGTAGTAGAAGGAGGGGAAGGAGGAAACGACGGGCGCATCTCTTGCCGACCTAACACAGGGACTATTCCCTGTGTTAGGCCCTATCCTTAGTCAGGGCAATGGATGTAAGAATGGGGAAACCGCCCTTTTCAGGGCCAGGGGAGTTAGAAGCATCACCCCACAGTGATTCTTATCATTGCCGATTGTGGTAGATGCTCAATTGGCCCTTCTTAGGGCCAGGGGGGGCGAGAGAAGGAGGGAGAGAACAACGCTCTCTCTCATATTCCTGCGAGAGCCGTGGGTCTGCCTTGGGGGGGAACGGGCCCGCATCGCACAAGCTCTCTGGATGTCCACTCCAGTGCATCTTCATCGGGGCGGGTCCGTTTGCGCACAATCACCTTGCGGGTGTGCGGTCATTCGTAACAGGATGCCGCAACATCACCCGCACGCCCGGCGCGCATTAGAAGGACCGCGGTTCTCAAAATGCGTGTCGAGTGTGCAGGAGTATTGTCTGGTTTTTAGTGGCCTTGTTCAGGGCATTAGGTAGGGATCGGCTCATTTCATCCGGTTCAAGGGCTGGCTGAAATAAGCAGGAAGAGTCCCACATAACTTCTTCTCGCTCTCCCGGTGGCGAAAAAATGCGTAAGGTATTTTCCAGACAAATGGAAAAAACCGAAATATGTATATATCATCATACATACATACATCATCAGCCTATTAATGTCCCCACTGCTGGGGCACAGGCCTTCCCTATGGATGGATGCCATGACCCACCACGCGGGCCCAGTGCGGATTGGCGGGTGCTAACGGGTGCCTTCCGAAGCACGAAGGAACTCGAGTTAGTAAATTTTTGGTCACCCATCCAATGACCGACCACCGCGAAAGTTGCTTAACTTCAACGATCGCAGCCGAACGCGCTAACCACTTGCGCCACTTTCGCCATCGAGCATGTATATTTATTTACGTACTAATCTTAATATGAACTCATTTTCTAATACAGTGGTAAACGTGGTCCCCCTTATTAATAAAAAAATAAGCTTAGATTTGTTACTCCATGTTTTGTCTCTGTTCATCGAATGACAAATGGCATTTGAGTGATATGAATTAAACACGCCGTAACTAGTCTAAGCGTATTCCTTGTTTGTAAATAAGTAAGGGGGGTTTGTTTATGTACAGATCCAGTAAATTAATGTCATCATGGAATGGAGGAGTGTGGCCGACCAATGGGCAAGGTTTCTCCAGTCGCCAGCATCGCTTCCGGATGCCTGCAGCAGTCTCCTAAGGCTGCTTTCCTTCTGGACTAACTTAAGCTGGCTGGAGTGAACCGGAATGTGTCGAGACACGCACAATGGTCCAATAATTAGACTAAGTGCGGAAAGAGCCCTGAAAAACTACAATTTCGAACTGATTTGATTACAGATATTCTTAAATATCTAACTTTTTTCTTGGTAATTACTTCACAAAAGGTTTCTTGGTGAATCATTCCGTATTAAAGATCAGTTCGTGCTCTGAATTTTAATACTCGCGAGTATATTTAGCGGTTTGTAGAGGTCATTGAACAGTGTTGCATTGTTATGGATTTTAGTTTCTTCATTGCTTCATAACTCTTTTATAAACTTAACTACAAGTGTAGAATCGACTTGTTTTTGTATTATATAGATTGTTTTTAATGTCTTTATTTTTGTAATATTTGGTTAGTATAAAGTATCCAAGGTGAATATTTCTTATACTTTATATTTTTTTTACACTATATTATTATTGACGACCTCCTTGGTGGAGTGGTTTGTACGCCGGGTTTCACGGTGTCGTCAACTAAAGAGGTCCCGAGTTCGAATCCTTGTGGGGGCAGATGTTTGTGTGATGAATACGAGCATTTGTGCTCCAGTCATGGATGTTTAGTATTTCTATATAAATATACTTATATACTCCTATGTACTGTATATGTATTCTATCCGTTACCCCAGTATCCCATAACACAAGCCTTACAGTGCTTACTTTGGGGCTAGGCTAATTAGTGTGAGTGTTGGAAATATTTATTATTTAATATTAAGATTCAGGCCTCCCATTATTAAGGGAGATCTCCTGTTTTTTTGAAATGTCTCCTGTTCTTCTACATCGGCTTTTCTACATGAATCTACTCCTATCCTTTGAATACGTTTTTCTTCTTTAAATTATGGTTTCAGTTTCATTTTCCGCTATATGTTTTTGTTAAAAAAAAACTAGGTTTTGAGGGAGGCAAGAGCCATAGAAACGCATTCGTTACTGGCTTATATTTTCAATATAAGCCAATTCCAGTACAAATCGGAAAAAAATACGTTCCTGGATCTACTGTTTTTTCTTGAAGCTATTTTCATACATCGACTGCTTTTTACTGTAACGGCTCTCGATTTTTGTCAGTAAAGTATAGTGTATTTTTAGTTCTGATTGGAGCGCCTGTCTGGGGAAGCAATCTCCACCTTACAGAGGACCACAGTAAAATAACAATACTTTTTGGTGAGGATTCAGAATTTGTAACGGCGCAATTGATGCTCTAGTGTACGGTTTATTTTTATGTTATAGGGGGCATACGAGCAGACGGCTCACCTGATGGTAAGTGATCACCGTCGCCCATGGACACTTGCAGCACCAGGAGTATCACAAATGCGATGCCGGCCTTTAAGGAAGGAGTACGCTCTTTTTTTGAAGGTTCTTGGGTCGTATTGGTTATTGGTTTATCTTATTGCACTCATATAAGTCCGTATTTACAAGGATTTGGAAAATAAGAAAAAACATTAAGGTTCAATAGCTCTATTGCGACTAAAATTAAAATATATAAAAGTGGCAGGCGTAGCTGCCGACACATACACATATAGAGTCTGTGCGGAAAGAGAATGGGATTTAGATTGGAGGGCGCTGTAGTGCTTTTCTACCGTATTTGTAAGGTTTTACCCCTTTTAGACATGATTAAATACAAAAAACCACAAGAAATCACAACAACAAACAAATCCGTATCAATACAAAACTTTGACGTTTTACAGATTGCTGGGTTTGATTGCCAAATAAAATTTTTAATGTTAGTTCCGTTTTTTTGTGTGTTTTATGTTATGGATATTTACGTCATCCCAAGATTATGGTGTAAATAATGTTATTCAAAGTAAAAAAAAATACATAGTAAGAAAACAAAATGGATATAGTTCTCCAATACAAAATACAGTCAAATATCGTTTGAAGTTTGTCGTAAGAGTATTTGTAAATCTGGTTTCTTATTAAGGTCTGAAATAAAAAAAATGGACATTAAACTTTGGTTGATTTATCGTTATAAGGCGCGGCGCCCACAGAGAAGACATAAGTAAGATGTAAAACACGCAAACGGGGCGCGGAATTGTCAGTTTCATACAAAATTTGGTGACTCATTTCTTTGTCGCACTATCCGTAAATGGAATGCTCTGCCCGCTCACGTGTTCCCTCCCTCTTACAACCTGGGATCCTTTAAAAGAGGCGTGAAGAAAGAAGCAACATGCAGGCCGGCAGGGTGAGGATGGCTGGTGTGGCAGGTAGAACTGCTGTTTCAGCTATCTTCGCATCTGGACTTCACCTTCACTTAACATCAGGTGGGGTGGAGTCATTTGTCGGACCTATCTATAAAAAAAAGCGTTGTGTTCGCGCCCTGTTTT